GTGAGACAGGGGTTGGGGAGAGAGTGGGGGGGAGGGAGGGAGGAAGAGGAGGGGAGAGAGACAGGGAGAGAGAGGGAGAGAGGGAGGGTGGGCAAGTGAGGCAAGAAGTGGGAAGGAGGGGGAGACATGGAGGAGAGGAGAGAGTGACAGAGAAAGAGAGAGAGAGAGACAGACAGACAGACTGTCCAGAAATCATGCTCAAATTAAAAGTTAGGAGCTATACATGAACATATTCATGATGCAGTTCCTACATAACATTGTCTTCAAAGTTCTGCAGAAAAAGGAAACAGCTGAGGGATCACAACAGCGAGCAGAAGCAGCTAGGCTGTGGTACACGCAGAAGCATTTGTCATCCAATTAACTACTGCTTTCTTGTCAATTAAACTCCAGTTTTTGGTCCAGAAAAAGATATCCTACAGGCAAAACATGCCCAAATCACAACCTCAGGAGACAGTGCCCCATCTTACCAGATTTCCTACAGTCAACACATGTTCGAACTGTGGCGTCATGGGATGGTGCTCCATTGCCATAAACAGTGTGTTCAGGACAATGCAGATGGTGATGGCCAGGTCCACAAAAGGGTCCATAACAATCAGGTTCACGATCTCTTTCAGCTTTATCCAATAGGGGTGACACTCCCAGATGAGGAAAGTGTTGGCAAATTTATACCAGCATGGTGGGCACTTTCTCTGAGACTCTTCCAACTCTGGAGTAAATAAAGAACAAAGATGGCTCCTGAATCACAGAAAACAAAGGGGATGCACTCCTCTCCTTTGACCAGGTCATAATCACGGACATCGCTGTGAGAATAGAGTGCCTGGATGCTGATATTCTTGAGAAGCCCTCAGATCTCCTCAAGGGAGGGAGGAGGTAGATCAGTGCTAGTTGCTTCCCTATCTATAACAATCTAGTTATAAATGAAACCCAAACTACCTACTACAGGATTGGACTCGGGGTGCTTAGGAACTTGCCCTTTATGGGTTGACTTCCTGGTTTAACTGCTCTGAAACTCAAAAGTTGTACAGTCTCATGCCAGGAAAATACCTCCTTTGTTCTTCAGTTGCCTCAACTGTACAGCAGGGCACTGACTTTATAATTCTAGGACTTAATGAGTCAAGTTTGGCCCTTTCATTAAATTATATGAATTTGATTAAGGATTAAGTCAGTGATGGCGAACCTTTTAGAGATGACAACCCAAACTGCAACCCAAAATTGACTTACTTATTGCAAAGTGCCAACACTGCAATTACACCTAAATGCTGAAGTTTTATTTTTTTTATTTTTATTTATTATTTTTTGTACCAGGGATCGAACTCAGGTCCTTGTGCTTGTGAGGCAGGCGGCGGAACCACTCCCCAGCCACTGAGGTTTTAGATTAGGAAAAAAAAAAAAAAGACATGTATTAACATTGTTTGTGTTAAAAGAAAAACAAATAACATGCGTGCCACAGGTTCACCACCCCTGGGTTAGACGCAGTAAAGCAGTGCCTGGCACAAAATTACGATCTCATTAAATGGTAGATACTCTATCATATACTATATCACTTTATCCAAGAAGCCACCGGAAGCAGATTCTGGGGCTAGACACACCTGGGTTCAAATATCAGACACTTGCTAACTGTGGGATCTTCACCAAATAACTTCAATTTTCCGTAAAAACTAAATGAGCTAAAATAGCTATAAAGTGCTTAAGAACATCCTGGCATACAGTAAATGCTACTGAAGTGTTTGTTGTATCTTCACCAGCATAAGCAGGGTCATTAGCCAGTCACCATATGGACAATATCTATGATGCTCTCAGAGAAATACAAGTCCATGCTCACTTTGGCAGCACACATACTAAAATTGGAATGACAGAGAAGATTAGCATGGCCCCTGCACAAGGATAACACGCAAATTCGTGAAGTGTTCCACATTAAAAAAAAAAAAAAGTACAAGTCCCTGTCTCCACCTTCAATGAGTTGCAATTCACAGTCAGAAGTCATATTTCTTTTCTCCATTCACTTTTCCTCTCTGTTCCTTTCTCCTGCCTTGCCCTTTCTTATTTTCATCTTTTCCTTCTCTCTCCCTCTGGAGATTCTTGCATTTTCCCTCCTTTGGTGTCTTCTTTCCTTTTATCTTTCCATCTCTCTGTCTGTCTCTCTCTCTCTCAGGCAGAAACTATTCTGTTGAGACAAGATCTCATACAACCACAACACATAAATAGATAATCCAGGAATTGTTCTAGTTGAAGCAGGAATAGGGGCTCGGAGCCCAGTCCAACTGACTTCTTCCTTCCCCCAGGTCCTCACTCAGAATTCTAGGACTCTGGTCACCCAGACTGAAGGTCACTGGACTAGCAGGTCTCTAAGGCTTTAATCTAAAGCAATGATTAAAAAGAATGACTGGACAGTAAAGGCAGCCACTCAGCTGACATGAGGCCATAGGTAAGTAACAAAGCTCTTTTCAAATTATGTATGAAACATAATAGTGGGGATTAAAGATATCCAAGGACCTTGAGGTAAAGGGCTGCTCATAAGAGGTATAACTTTGAAAACCTGTCAGAAAAACTCTTAGCTGTGAGATATTGTTTTTTCAGGATCAGCTGTAACAGCTTCCCTTTCCCTGCCCCATTCTGCTGACAAAGTCATAATCACTTAGGGAATTAAAAAAAGTTTCCCAACATTTCCCCTCAAATAAGATGGCTGCTGTAAATCATTTCTCCTTTCCCTTCTTCCAACCAGCTGGATGGTGCCCATGGTGATGGCTTTATTTCAGATGGGGTGGTTTTGGTTGGGTATCTGATTGGCTCCCTGGTTGCTAAGAAAATGGTTGCCTTGGTGTTTCAGATTTTAGGGCCATAGTAAGTGCCACGTGGGAGTTTGCGTGGGAAAGGAAGTCTGAGAAGAAAATTTGCGTTAGTTTCTTCCTTACAAGAACCCTCTCCCTTCCTAAGGTAAATTTAGGGGTTTTTTTCCCCCTCAAAAAAGAAAATGTGAAGGTTTTCTTATTTCCATAAATTTTTATAGTACATATTTGGAAATTTGGTTCCGTTCCTTTTTTTAAATCTCCCTTCTCCAAATGTCTGCAGCTTGCTGGCACGTGGAGGTTGAAGCCATGACTGTTCACATTTTCGATAAATGACACAACTCATGTGTTTCACAATGCACTAGCCTCCAAGTCTTGCCAGATGGGGTAGGGTTTTCCAATTCTATGGGGCACCAAAAACATTCCTGTAGGGATACTGGGTATCTCTTATCCATATTTACTGAGAAGGGGAGATCCCTTCTGTCCCACAGAAAATAAAACAATGTGGAGCCTAAGAACTAGAAAAGATTATTAGTTAATGAGGGAGGTACATAAAATAACTTACGACTTTGCAGACTGTTACCACCCTACAGGATTGGATGGAGAAGTAACTGGTGTGGGAGAATGGGTTAACCCAAGGGAGTGAGATGTCCAAAGGTTTGTGAGGTTCCCCTGTCTTGTTTCTGGGTGTTCTCAGAGGGATTGCTGCAGGTCTCAGGCTCAGGCATAGTGGGAATTGTTTATGGAAAGACCACAAAAACTCATCAAGATGGTGGCTTTAGTAGACCAAGAGGTTTCCAAAGAAAGGGTTTATCTCAACACAACTTTTAAATACCGGCAATAGGTTATGCACTAGGCACAAGTCATGAAGTGTCCCCAACCTCACTGAGCTCTCAGCTGCACAGGAATGACAGATGTCAGACAAATAATTGTACAGAGACCCTTGATGCGCATCAGCTGAATTAAACAATGGATGAATAGTGGTAGTAATAACTATGCCCATTTACCTCTAGGGAGGGTCTGACACTGTTTTACCTGAGAATCAGTAGTGCCAAATACCACCGATCCTCCTTCTTATTTCCCCAATTGTCTCTCTTCTCTTGCAGTTTTACTGTTTTGAGAAAGGAGACTACATTACAGTTTGCCTACATCCTACCTCCAGCCTTCTGAAAGATTCCCAAAGACTATGGCTCTGCTGTGGATACCACTGAATGTAATGGATCCTGGTGAGCACATCTGTAACAAGATGGAGTGAGGCAGAGCAGGCAGGGTTTTCTCGTGGATCATAGGACTCTGGGATTCTCCACTGTGATTTCTAAACCTTTAGGTACCCTATGTAGGAGGCTGTTTCTCTGGTTTTAAGAAAAAATTATTTTAATCTTTGGATTGAAATAACATTAGGGTTTCCTACTTTCAAGTCTGGAAGCTGAAATAACTTCATTCAGTGATAGCTTTTAATGTAGCAGGCAATAAATACAGAGGGACCAACAGTTAAATAGAAATGCATCTCTCTTTTTCTCTTTCTTTCTTTTGTTCTTTTTGGGTACTGGGGATTGAACTCGGGTCCATGTGCTTCCAAGGCAGGCGGCAGAACCACTGAACTAAATCCCCATCCTGAAACAGATCTTAAATGTTCTTTAATTCCCTCTCATGTTCAGATCCACTCATTGATGGCTCTTTGCTTAAAACTGTTCCACTCCATCAGCTTTAACTGAAGGGATCAAATATAAAGTGAGGGGATAAGAAGAATGTCTGAAAGGGTAAGAGTAGGACAGCACAAATTATGTGAAGAGGAGGGCCTAGGAAAGGAGAAAGAAACTGGGATGTCTTGCTGTCTCTGTCCTGAAGGACTCTTCCATCACTCATATATTGGCTTATTCATTTATTTTTTTTGTGTGGGGAGTTGACCTAGGGCTTTGTTTTTTTTTTTTTTTTTTTTTTTTTTTTTTTTTTTTTTTTTTTTTTGGTACCGGAGTTTGAACTTGGGATCTTGTGCTTGTAAGGCAGGTGGTGGAGCCACTAAGTTAAATCCCTGGCCCCATTCATTTATTGTTTAATGTGTGTGCTGATAGGTAGAGGGTGGAGAACAAGTAAAGCAGAAGAGAAAGAGGAGAAGAGAGAGAGAGAGAGAGAGAGAGAGAGAAGACACCCCCCACCCAATGATTTGTATTCAACTCGGTGAAGGGATGGAAGCTCTAAGTCTTTCAAAGAAATGTTACAGCACCAACACTCCCCACCATTCCAAGCAATCCAAAGTCAGACAGTTGTGTTTGAGTGTCTACTTTTGCCAGACCCAGTGGTAGGCAACTATAATAAATAATTGCTGTATTACATCATAGTTCTCCTGAACTGATGTCTCTATCAATAATAAAATGTTGGAGGTTGTTAGTTTTTCTTTCCCAACTGCCATGGATATTTGGAGATCCTGTTTCAAGTGAATGATAAAATCAGAAAAAGTTCTTATGCTAGTGTCTCGTAGCCCAGAAATCTTATGACCTGCAGTCAATTTTCTTTTTTTCCCCCCATTGAGTTTATTGGTACATTTAAGGTAAATAATACGGTTACATTCATCATTGGGATGTTGTACCTTTACATGGTGCATCTTGGTTCTTATTTTTCCCCATTCTCCTGCCCTCCCATTGCCCGTTTCATCCTTCCCTATTTACAAAGACTTTGTTTCAAATTTTTCATATTTTTTCCCTTATTTCCTTTCCCCTACCCTTCTCCTTTAGACCTTTTCTTCCTATCACACTATCAATTATACCATTTGAACCTTCTTTACACTTTTAGTTTTTCACACCACAGAAACTATTTGGTATTTACTCAAGTGTATCCTATTTATTTCACTTAAGAGTTTATTTCACTTAAGTGTATCCTATTTATTTCACTCAATGTTCATCCATTTAGCTATGTCTCCAGTTTCTCATTCTTTATGGCTGAGTAGTACTCTATTTTATAGAAAAAACACATCTTCTTTATCCAGTCACCAGTTGATGGGCAATTGGGCTGTTTCCAAGTTTTAGCTATTACAAACTGTGCTGCTATAAACATGGGTGTACATGTATCACTGTGGTATGATTCTTTTAATTGTTTTGGAAAGATACCCAGCAGAGGAATAGCTGGGTCAAATGGGACCTCTAATCCTAGTTGTTTAAGGTATCTCCATATTGATTTCCACAGTGGTTGCATAGGTCTGCACTCCCACTAACAATGGAGAAGGGTTCCTTTCTCCCCACAGCCCCGTGAACATTTGTTATTGGTTGATTTCTTGCTAGCAGCCATTCTTTCTGGGGTAAGGTGGAATTTCAGTGTTGTTTTCATCTGCATCTTTCAAATGACCAGTGATGTTGAACATTTTTTCATATATTTATTTGCTGCTTTTACTTCTTTGTCTGAGAAATGTTTGTTCATTTCAGATGCCCATTTTTCAATCGGGTCTTTGTATTTGGGGGACCTGATATTTTTAGGTTCTTTATATATTCTAGATAGTAGTCCTTTGTCTGAGGAACAGCTGCTAAAATTTTTTTCCCCACATTGTAGGTTGTCTCAGCTCTGTTGGTGGTTTCTCTTGTACTTGCAGAAGCTTTTTTTTTTTTCTGTACCATGTGTCGAACTTGGGACCTTGCACTGTGAGGCAGGCTGTGGAACCACTGAGCTAAATTCCCGGCTCTGCAGAAGCTTAATAGGATGAGATCCCAGTTGTTAATTCTTTGTGCAAGTTCCTGTGCTACTGAGGAACTGTTCATAAAGTCTTTTCCTATGCCAGTGTCTTCGAGAGTTCTACCTAATTTATTTTCCAGCAAGTTTAGTGTTTAAAATTTAGATTTTTAATCCACCTGGATTTTAGTTTAGTGCATGGTGAAAGATAGGGGTCTAGTCTTAATCTTTGGCAAGATGAAATCCAGTTTTTCCCAAATCATTTATTAAAGAGGCTATCTTTCCTTCAGTGAGGATGGTTGGCTCCTTTGTCAAAGATGAGGTAGTTGAGTATGTCTGGAGTTGTTTCTGCATCTTCTAATCTATTCCACTGATCCTTGGATCTGTTTCTTTTTCTTTTTTTTGGAACCGGGGATTGAACTCGGGTCCTTGCACTTGCGAGGCAGGCCACTGAACTGCTGAGCTAAATCCCTGGCCCCTTGGATCTGTTTCTTTACCAGTACCATGCTGTTTTTAATCACAGTGGCTTTGTAGTATAGTTTGAAGTTGAGGATTATGATAAGTTGGGGATTGTCATACTCCCTGTCATGCCTCTGTTGCATAGAATAGCTCTTGCTATTCTAGGTCTCTTCTGGTTCCAAATGAATTTTTGGATTGTTTTCTCTAGTTCTGTGAAATATACTGTTAAGACTTCAATCGGGATTGCATTGAATCTGTACAGCAGTTTTTGGAAGTATGTCCATTTTCACTATGTTGGTTCTTCCTACCCAGGAGCAAGGATGTCTTTCCATTTTCTTATATCCTCTTTGATCTCTTTTTTCAGAGTGTTGTAGTTTTCAGCATAGAGGTCTTGTCTCCTTCATTAGATTGATTCCCAGATATTTCATTTTTTGGATGTTATTGGGAAAGGAATTGTTTCCCTAATTTCTCTCTCAGCAAGTCTGTTATTGTGTACAATCAGGCTATTGATTTTTGAGTATTGACCTTGTATCCAGCTACTCTACTGAATCTGTCAATTAAGTCTAGAAGTCTTTTGGCAGAGTTTTTCTGGGTCTTCTATGTAGAGTATCATATCATTAGCAAATAATGACAGTTTAATTTGTTCCTTTCCTATCTTTATTCCTTTTATTTCTTTTTCTTGTCTAATTGCTGTGGCTAATGTTTCCAGAACTATGTTGAACAGGAGTGGTGATAGCGGTCATCTTTGTCTTGTTCCTGATTTTAGCATGAAGGTTTTCAGGTTTTGACCATTCAGTATGATGTTGGCTATTGGTTTTTCATAATAGCCTTGAGATAAAGACCATCTATTCCAGTTTTCTGTAGTTTTTTTTATCATGAATAGGCACTGAATTTTTTGAATACTTTTTCTGCCTCTACTGATAATCATATGGTTTTTGTCCTTGAATTTTTTTTTTCTGGTACCAGGGATTGAACTTGGGACCTTGTGCTTAAAAGGCAGGTGGCAGAACCACTGAGCTAAGTCCCTGGCCCTTGACTTTGTTAATATAGTGTATTACATTTATTGATTTACGTATGTTGAACCATCCTTGTATCCCTAGGATAAATCTGACTTGGTCAGGGTGTATGATCTTCTTGATGTCCCTCTGTATTCTGTTTGCTAGTATCTTGAGGATTTGTGCATCTATGTTAGTTCGGGAGATTGGCCTGTAGTTCTCTTTTTTTGGTTGGGTCTTTCCCTGGTTTTGGAATCAAAGTAACACTAGTTTCCAGGAATTAACTTGGAAGTATTGCTTCCCTTTCAATTTCACTGAAGAGTTTAAAGAGTAGTGGCAATAGCTCTTCTCTAAATATTTTGTAGACATCAGGACCTGGGATTTTCTTTGTCGGTAATGTTTTAATTAATTTTCAATTTCACTGAATATAATTGGGGTGTTTAGACTTTCTATATCTTCTTCACTCAATTTTGGTAATTCATATGAATCTAGGAATCTGTCCATTTCCTCTATGTCTTTCATTTTATTAGAGTACAGGTTTTCAAAGTAGGTACTGATGATCCTCTGGATTTCTGGTGGATATGTTGTGACTTCACTTTTTTTGTTCCTAATTGCATGAATTTGAGCCCTTTCTTTCCTTTTTTTGGACAAGGTTGGCTAAAGGTTTATTGATTTTATATTTTTGAAAAGCCAACTCTTTGATTCATTTATTTTTTTTGTTTCATTCTCTTAGTCTTCATTGCATTAATTTCTGCTCTGATCTTTGTAATTTCTTCCCTTCTATGAGCTTTCAGTTTTTCTTGCTCTTCAAGTTTCAGCATTAGGTTGTTTATTTGAGCTCATTCTGTTTTCCTAATGTAGACATGTACTGCTATGAATTTCCCTCATAGAATTGCTTTGTGTCCCATATATGCTGTATTAGCATTATCATATAAGTGTAGAAACTGTCTAATTTCTTCTTTAATTTCCTCTGTGACCCATTGGTTGTTTGCAGGGTGTTATTCAATTTCCATGTATTTGTGAAATTCTTGCAGTTTCTTATGCTATTGATTTCTAGTTTAATTGCAGTATGGTCTGATAATATACATGGGATCACTTCAATTCCTTTGCATTTACTTAAGCAGGTTCTATGAGCTAGTATGTGGTCTATTTTGGAGAATGACTTGTGTGCAGCCGAAAAGAATGTATATTCTGATTTTGTGGGGTGGAACACTCTGTAGACATATACTAAGTTCATTTGTTCAAAGGCTTGGTTCAGTTTTATTATTTTGTTGTTTTTTGTTTGTTTAGATGATCTATTTGTGAGAGTGGAGGATTCAGGTCCCCTGCTATGATTGTATTAGTTCTTATTTCATTTTTCATATCCATTAATATTTGTTTTATATAGTTGGGGCATTAGTATTTGGTGCATATATATTTAAGATTGTCATCTCTTCCTCTTGGACTGTTCCCTTTACAAAGATGTAGTGGGCTTCTTTGTCTCTCCTAATTAGTTTTGGTTGAAATCTACTTTGTCAGAAAATAAGATAGCTACCACCCTATTTTTTCTAGACTCCTGTCACATGGAGAACTGTTTTCCATCCTTTTACTCTCAGTCTATGAATTTCTTTGTGCATTAAGTGGGTTTCTTATTATAGCATATTGTTGGATTTTGCTTCTTAATTCACTCTGTCAGTCTATTTCTTTTTTTTTTTTTTTTTTTTTTT